CTTCCCTTTATATTTAAAATCCAATCAAACGTCTTAGCTTGTGGGAATGTGGCCCAATACACCACGGGATTTAAAGAGGTTGGTGCTGGTCCCAATTAGGACGGCCGGATTGCCTCCAGGAAGAATCCCAAACCAAGCTGTGAGCCGAGGCCCAGGAGACTCAGAACCGTTCTCTACCTGGTTCAGCGTCTGAATCCAAGCCCCTAGGAAGGATGGTTGCCTGCCCAGATTTAGGGGTTGAAGGCCGGTGGTAGGTGATCCAGGGAGAGAAAAGGAGTCCAGAGGCCGGCAGCAGGGTATGGGGGTCGGGCAGGTGCTTGCAATAAGGTGAGGGGTCCCTGAGTGGGCGCGCCAATGTGTGCTGCAGCGCTGCATCCCTGCCTTGCCTCCTTGGTGTTCCAGGCGCGCACCCAGCAAGGAGTCCTCGAAGGTCAGGTTCATTTAAAGATCCTGAAATGTTGGGTGTGAAGCCACCCTGTCGCCTCAGGCCTGTTAGGGTGCCCCATGACCCGCTGCCCCTCAGCGTTGAACGCAGTCGCCCCTGAATAACGGAGGGTCATTTTTGCTCTCTCACGTGCAAGTATAGACACACGCACAGAGACACGAACCGTCAGTCAGCGAGCCAGTGGTAGCTTTTACAATTCATAAAACGGCTTGTAGCTTTATTAAAGCAACATCTATGCCGGGACCGGTGTCTACGAATAAATCTTCAGCGTGTCTGAGCGACCAGCTCCTTTGCTTCACTGTGTTTCCTTCTCAGGATAAATTCTCCCCTTTCTTCAACTCACTTCCTCCCCACCATCAAATCTCCCCTACCCTCCCGAAATAATTCGCTCTTGGATTCCGAATTAGCAGCAGTTTCCATCCTTAAATCCATCACGATAACAAGAAATGCCCAGCTGGCATTTCTTCCCTGAATCTTGCCCCTGTCAGACCATGACACTGAAAATCAGTTATATTTTAATTAAGTCTTTTGGATTTTTTAAAAAAGCCCGAGTCTTTGGCAGCCGCATTCCCTTAACGTCAGACTTTCTTTGCTAAAGGTAGAATTGGGGTGCCGGGGGCGGTGTGTGTGCGATCGACTTTCTCTGTCCCTTACCAAAGAGCCACTTAAGACCTGGAGACAAGCAGTGCCCGCGTCAGCAGAAAAGCAGCGGGGGCAGGAGACCCACCCAGCCCGAACGCGCGGGGTTGGGCGCTCAGGGCAAGGATTCCATGACGCGAGAGGGTCTCCGGAGCTAGGAGCGGGGGCCCGCCTGAGGTTTCGGTGCAAGGGCGGATCCAGAGCTAGGTGGACAGGGATTTCCAGGTGGAAGCGAATCTGCGGTGCGGGGAGGAACAGGGCGGTAGGACGGGAATTCGAAAGGGGCCAGTAGCCGGGAGGGGAGCTTGGAGAAAGACGCAAATGGTCCCACCAGCAGGGTGGAACTGAGGGTTGGGTCCAGCTAACATCAGGCCAAGGAAACAACTGTGGTACTCCTCCCGGTGGTCCTATTCCCCACGAGGCAGCGCACGAGTTGGAGCGAGAAGGTCTCGGGACCCTAAAGCCCCCGGTAATCCCCGCCGCTGTCCTTCAGCCCCAGTCGCCGCCCAGCCCTGCGCGGCCTTGCAGGCAAAGTCCCCGCAGACCCCCGAAATGCGCCAGGGCAACAGGTTGGGCGAAAGCTGTTAAAAGAGTGCCCTCCTCCTCTCGGTCCTCGAAACGCGCTGCCCGGCGGACTCCGCGCCCTGGCGCAAAAGAACTTGGCTCTGCCACTTGGTGGCGGAAGGAGGGAGGGAAAGGGCAGGAGGGCGGAGGAGGATCTGAGTTCGTGACGCGAGGTGGACTTTGGGGTGCTTAAGTGGCAGGGCGACCCCCTTTTCTCCTCCTGGCCGGGTTGGCCCCGAGGGCGCGGAGCAGAGGACGCGCACGGCTGGGTGGAGCGTCGGTTCTGGGGAGTAAGCGCGGGGGGCAGGCCGCGGCCGACCTGGCGTCCTCGGCCCCGCACGCTCTGCGCCTCCCTCTGGACACCAGGTTCCGCGTCCGCTTTACGTTCACGCCGCCCTCCCGGACACTGCTGCACAGCCGCTCGCGGTCGCGGCCCACCTCTGCACACCCATTCTGGCCCTGCGAACCAATGGCCTCTTCCCCTTCACCCCCCCACGGAACAGCCACCTCTGAGCTCTGCCCCATTAACCCGGGCAACTCCTTCCTCCCGAACTGGTTCCATCACGAGAAACTTCTCAACTTCCTGGCCCAGCAACGGACAAATTTTGTTTTATTTCTCCCCAAAGATGTATTTATTTTTAAAGTCAGTCTCCATATTTTTATTATATAAATATTGTGAAGGGAAACTCTACCTGTCAAAACAAATGGACCCTGACCTTTCTACCCCAATATTTATGGAGTTTCATTTTACTCTTGCAGAAATTTATTCATGACAGATTTCCCCCATGGATTATTTTGATTTCCCAAAAGCAGAAGTAGGGATGGTACAGGGGAGGGGAGGTCTTTGAAGAGAAGTGGACAAGATACTGGTGGAGGGGGTAGATTAATAGGGCCATTTTATCTTCAGAGCCACCTCTGACTCTCACTCCCTTAACTCACCCTCCTAGAAGGTAAATACCCCCCCCAGAAGTCTTCTTGAAAAGAGTTGAGACCCTTAGAATCCCCCTCCACAAACCTCTACTTACTTAAGTGTGCAGGGACTTCCAACCTGCAAATGTTCTCTTGCCTGCCCTAAGAGGGCCAAAGAGCAGCAGCAAGCCCAGTCCCCAACAACCCCGCTTTTTCTAACTTCATGGGCCATCTGTGACTGAAGACAGATGGAGGTAGAGTGCGGGCATTTTTGAGGGGTTAGGATAAACGGAAACTGGAGGGACTGTCACAGGGAGAAGGTAAGCCCTGAGGGGCAGAGGCTTTTACCAGATGCTCCCACTGGGCCCCCACTTCCTCCAAAAATGGGAGGAAAACTGCCAAAGCCTTTATATGTACGGTAGGTAGTGACCGAGTCAGCACTACTAATGACATTCGCAGTGTTAATTCCAACCCTGCTGGAGACAGTGGGCTTTGTAGGCGCCAGGGGCTGGTGGCATTTTAGGCAGTGTTTCCCCATCCCCCAACTCTGCTAGCGCCACACCCCCCTGATATGTGGTTAGTTGTTTGCGAAAGGGGGTGAAATCCATTCCTCAGTCTTCTTCCCTCCCTCCCTCTCTCCCTCGTGAGCAACCCGGAAGAGCTCCGCTCACTACAGTGAGCTGGGGAAGGCGGAGGGAAGGGGCTCCTAGGAAGGATGCATATCACCCAGGTTTTACTTCTCGCTGGAGGCCGGCGTGAGATGCCATAAGCAGCTGCAGCGGTGAGGACCGCAACAGCCACAACAGTGGCCAAGGCTGCCTGCCATTTCTGCCTTCAGATCTCCGGCAAGTCAAGGAAAAAATAGAAAACATCTGGCCCATAGGAGCAAGCAACCCAGGTCAGTGAATATCGCTATCTTCTCTAACTGCATTTGCTGTCCCTGCTCCACGTGGAGAGAATTAAGAAGAGGTCTCAACTGCGAAGGGACAATTGCCCTGAAAGAAAGTGAACTAGACCCCAGTCCTTGTTGTTCTTTCTGGTCACTGGAAATCTTTGGCTTTCTGCAGTGACCTTGGGTGAGCATGGTGTGTGCATGTGTGTATGTCCTTGTTTGAAGGAAAGAACTAGTAGAACCTGGCATGAGAAGAGAAACTAAACAAAAAATAAGAGACAGCAGGAATGTTTGGGAAGGGCTGGACCCACGTTTTCCACTTCAGGGAGAGCAGAGGATTGTGGAAAAGAACTCTTTTGCCCCAGGGAGCTCAACCTTCTCCCCAAGGTAGCTGCAGGGTCCATGTGTCAATTTCATGGACCATGTGTCAATTTATTTATCTCTGCTTATTAAGTGTGTGTTTAGGTTCATTGTCTCTGCATATAATTAAAGAAAACAGCTGTGTGTTGTGAGATGAAAGTTGGAGCCCAGATGTGTGTGTATCTGGCATTCTCCAAGGGAGCTGGTGGCCAGGAGCTGCAAAGGCAGGTGAGAAAACCTGAGCCTGGAAGAGAGGGTGCCCAGGGTGGTGGGGCATGGGAAGGGCAGAGGAGACAAGAAACCTATTTTGTTCTGGTGCCTTAAGCCAACAGACCTCGAGGAAGTCATTCTGTCGACCCAGTTCCCAACAAAGATACTACTAAAATGCAAGGGAAGTTGACTGAATCTAGGCAGGAGAATTGCTTTTACACACACTTTCCTCCTCTCGGACACCATGGGGTACCCAAACATATGGAAACGGGGTGGTTCTGTCCAGGGTAGGGGATGAAAACGAGTCTAACCTGCAGGATCTTACCTTCATTTGGTTTCCATGTTTACTAGTGCCTTTTCCTCCCGTTGTCCACATACTGGAGTTGTGGATGGGAGGTTAACAACTTTATAAAGGCACACATAACAAAGTATCATTTGCAGCCCTCCATCCCTTAGTGGTTGTGGGAGAAAAGGTCTGTGGGGCTGCTGGTCCTGTGACAGGCATGGGGCAGGGCAGAGTCAGTCCAGGAGTCTGGATGTGACACGCTTGCAGGGCCCAAATGGCTGGTCACGGGGCAAGGGCTCACTATTCAACATTTTATATGTTTGTGTGATTCTGAGGAAAGGAACTATTTTCTGTCCATTTGATTCTGGGGTGGGCAATGGTGTTCAGGTCAGACAGACCAAGACCCAGGTAGGTATTGGGTGCCATGGGCTCCCATTAACAATTCCCATGTGGAATCAAGCAGGAGGCCCAGCTTCCAGCTTCCATCCAGGTACCCTTCAAGACCTAAGGTTCCTGGCTTGAGAAGCCAGCTGGGTTCTGAGGATATGGGTGACTAGAGTGGGGTACACAAGTCCGGCATCCCATAGTCCCACCCTCCATTCTTCAGAAGATATCTCTGCCAGTCCCAAGGACTCAGGATTACCATTGGTCTATCCTGCCAAAAGACTGGAGACAGGGGAAGCTATATGTTTGTTTATTTGATATTTCCACACTGCCTTTTTGCAACCAGTATATAAGGTGGGAGTAAGTCAGGGGTGCAGGAAAGAGATGGCATTGGGTATCCCTGCGCACTCATTGGTAGAGCCTGTCTGTTGGGCCTCCCAGCAGCTCAGGGCCATGCAGAGAGCCCAAGGAGGGCACAGGTACATGGGAACCTGGTGGCTGAGAACCCCTCTTCTAAAGGTTAAGGCAATTTGTGCCTGGGAACCAGGGGAAGTAGTGGAGAATTAGGGTCCTGATAAAGTGTGGTGAAAGAGTCTTAAACCCCAGTATTTTCTAGTACCGAGTTATCCTAAGCATTTCTGGGCTGCACTGCAGTGTTGTCTCATTCTTGGTGTCTGAGCCATTTCACATATAAATTGTGCATTCGTTTTGTGGTATGTCATTGTGTGTGGACCAAGTATTTCTGATCACTTCGTTTTCTTAATGGTTGGTGTAATCAGACAGATGTTTAGCAGCCCTACCTAGCTGGTCATGGAAGCCTTGGAGCTGGAGTCCAAACCCCCCTTTCCTTCTGACTGCTGGGCAGCGGGGACTAGAGATGGTGGTCAGGCACGGCAGCGGTGGAAAGGATGAGAAACACATTGCCCAAGGCGCTTCAGCAGAGGAGGTCTCCCTGGGTGTCTCACTGAGGGTCTGCAGGCACTTGTGTGTGACTGCTGTTTTGTTTTATATAACAAATTGCTTGGGGTCTACGAGGTGGCAGGCGGCAGGCAGAGAGCAGAGCGGTAGGCAAGGGTCTGGCATTAGAGGCCGCCGGCAGGGCGTAGTCTGAGGAGGGACACACAGGTGAAGGCTGTACGCAGGAGGGTGGCCTCTTTACACCTCTGAGCCCAGATTCACAGATTTTTACCAAGGAATCTCCAGCATATCCAAAGGAAGACAGGAACAATTCGCGATTTCAGAAACTCTCCTCTACTGTCTTCTCATCTGAACGAAATTATTCTCCATCATCTAATCCCTCCCCTCCTCTTGAAGTCCACTATTGATTGTCCAACAACAATCACACCCCGGTTTCTTGGCTAATCTAAGAAGTAAAAATAAAAAAGCTCCAAGATAAGGCCCTCCTCCTGAAATGCTGAATTGAAGTGGCCAGAGGAGACTCGGCAAAGGCTAGCGTTCTCAGGGCTCGGCTGGGCAACCCAACCCGGGGGCTCTGGAGATGCTCTGCGGTGAGGCGGTGGGCGACTAGCTGGGAGCGCTGGGAGACTAGGGTTGGAGCAGGTGCCCGTGCATCCTACCTCTCCCGAAAAGTGCGAGGCCCCCCGGAGTTCACCCGGCTGAGTCCCGCGCTGCTGACCCCTTTCCTGGCTGGGGTGGTCGCTCCCTTTCCTGGGAGTCCAGCGCAGCGGCCTGAGAACCACCTAGGAGGAGAATCAGGGTCCAGACGCGGCGAGCCCCGTCCTGAGTCAGTGGTGCCGCTGGGAACCTTCCTCTTCTCTTGTGCCTTCCCCGCCCCCTGTCCCCCAAACCGCTGAGGCCAGGAGGGAAGGAAAGTTGGGAGGTCACAGTTCCTGCGGGTGACTTGCATTCCATTCGACTCACTCTCAAGGGGAAATCTTTCTCTCCTACCCGACCCCGGGGCTCCCCCATTGCTAACTCCCTGCCCTGTGCACTGTTCAACTCTTAAAATAGAAATCCCCTGTCCTCTCCCTCCCTTCCCCCTTTCCGCTACACCCCTACCTACCCAATTTTTATCTCGTTATCATCAGGGTTTTTCTCACCCGGCAGTAGAGGGAGGGCCAGGATCCCCCGAAGCTGGAGGGCCCGGCCTGGTGGCGGGGGCGGAGCAGGAGGGGGTAATCTCTGAACGCATCTCCTTCTCTTTGACTCTACATCCCTCGTTGCTCCTTCTGGCCCGGCGGGTTTCCTTCCGAGTTTTAAACGGTGAAAAAAAAAAAAAGAAAAAAAAAAGAAAAGAAAAAAAGGTGAATCAAACCACATACCACCCCCAAAGCTATGGCTGCTTCCCCGGGGCAGGTAGACCCGGGTCCAGGGCGGGCGGCGTAGGAGCCGGGAAGAGGGTTGCGCTTGCGGAGCCCTTTTTGCCTGAGTTCCCGCTGTTTCCCCTTTGACGTTTCCATGTCCCTCATCTTCCCTTTGCCACTGAGTTTTGGGGCCCCCTTTTCTCTGCGTCCCTTCAAGTTCCCTGCTCCCCATGTTTCATTTGAAGTCTGCACTGCCTACTTTTCTCACCCTTTTGATTTCGATACTCACTCTCTGCATTTCAGCTCACGCGGGAAAGGAACGGGCGCTGGGGAGGGAGTTCTGATAGAACGAGTGTTTAACCTGCGCTGCTCCCGGCGCCGCGCCCAGCGGGCTCCCCCGCCGACCCGCCGCGCAGCCCCGGCCAGCAGTGGCGCCTTGGGCCATGTCCTCTGCATAACCCTCCCGCCTGGCAGCCGGTGAGCTGTTTATACAGCTTTACCTGCGCTATTTCTCTTATCCAGTAGAAATCCTCGCCCGGCCACGGTAATCTAACCCAAGGGCCGAGCAGAGGAGGGGTAGTGAGGCCGGCTGGGTGGAGAGTGAGGTGTGTCGGCGCCTGAAGGGGCTTCTCTCCTTCGCCCCTCCTCCCCTATGGGGAAAGACATTGAGATGCGGTTCGGGTGATCGAGGTGGGGGACCTAGGGGTAAGGAGGAAGAGTCTGTTTTCCACGTCTCTGTCCTCTCTGCTCTTCTCCCTCTCACAGACTAAGGGGACCCGCGCAGAGGCCGCAGCGCGGACTTGTCGGGGGGCGCCCCGTGGAGCCAGCGCGGCCCAGGACAGGTTTCCCTTGTCCAGGACCAGGACCTGGTCGCTCTCGCCTCGCTTTCAATTTGTCACATTAGAATTCCACACCTAAGTCAAAACCTGCCGGGAAGGGGGCCGTCACTTAACCAGATCTCTCCCCCGCCCCCCACACCTGGGCCAGCCTCTTCTAGAGCGCCAGCGTCCCGGCTGCAGCAGCGCAAGGAATCGAATTAAACGCCTCTTGGCCGTTATTGTCTCTCGCTAATTGCCCCAACAATAGCCACCTTTAAAGTGTTGATACCCAATTAAAAGCCCGGAGAAGAACGAGCAGCCGGCTTCAAGCCTGCAGATAGAGCGGCCCCGAACCGAGCTGGGGCTGGGAGCCGGCCTCTGCACCCTCTGGTCTCCACTTCCTCCCCAGAAGAACAGCGACTGCAGCGGGTTCACACCATCTTTATTGACCGACCGCTGCCTAGGAAGATTGATCCAGCTGGAATGGGAAGGGACAGCTCTGCCCCTAGACCCGCCTCGTCAGGGCCTCGGGGCCACCCTCCAATTTCTGGTCTTTGCAGTCGTGCCGCGCCCTCCCCTCCCCCAGCCCCGCAGGTTCCCGGCTTGGTTTCTGTCTGAACTGCGCGGCCGGGTCCGCCCAGGCCGGCGCCGCGGCTCCGGAGGGAAGGACGCGGCGTCGCGGCCGGGCTCTTCTGCTTTTTCCCGCCTGCAAATATTTGCTGCCTCCTTGGAAATCCGACTGTTTGGCGAGCGTTCGGCTTGCAAAGTCCTTACGTAAACACGCTCAAATGACCGCCCCGGGCGTCCCCAAGCACACCCACTCCCCCTGCGCAGTATTAGTCACTTTATGATTTGGACCCCGAGGCTTGGCTTTTTTAGTGACCCTCTGCGGGCAGCGCACGGGCATTCGGGGCCACTTTTCCCGGCACCTCGGTCCCGCGGAGCTCGTCTGGACGCGCCAGTCGCCAGGCTCGGGTGGGGGACGCTGACCGCGTGGACCTCCGCTCCCTGGGCCCTGCGACCCCAGAGGTGCGCCTGGGGAACACGCTCCTCCCCTCTGCGCTATGGGTTGCTGCCCCTTTGCAGGACTGTGTTCCACACTCCTCCGGACAGAGCCTCTGCGCTCCGGGAGTGCGAGTGGGAGGGACCTGTACAGGGGCATGTGTTTGGGTGTGTGTGTGGGTCCCAGCTTATACCCCGACCAGGGAGAGAAATCAGGCTCCATTTCTTACCCTTTCCCCAAGAGGGCACACACACGCCGCTCAACTTGACGCCTAAAGCAGCCGCCTCGAGGCTCGGCGTTTCAGATAGGCCAGACCGGCTCCCGCTGCCCCACACACGGCCCTGGGGCCCGGCTTCTGGGCTGGGGTCGGTGGCAGCGCCGTCGCCTACTCTGCTCCGGGATGCTTGCCCCCAGGGTCCCAGGCATCCAAGCCACGCGCCAGCCTCTTACCCTGCTGCGGGAGGCCTCGCGCCCTGCGGCAGCCCAGGGCCCTGATGCTGCGGCGGCGGCAGCATCCTCCTGGCTGTCCTCCTCGCTTCCTCCACCGGAGCTCCGCCGGCTGCTCCGGGTAGCGAAGGGGTCTCGCTAGACCAAGCCCCCACCCCCCGGGGTGCCTGGGGAGGGGGTTGTCAGGTCTGCAGGAGGGTGCTGAGGCGTCTCCGCAGGAGGCCAGGATCAGCTTTGAGGGTTGCGGCAGAGGGGGAATCAGGACCTCCTTTTACCCCCTTCCAGTGGCCTCCAGCTCCCTCCCATCCCCCGTCCGCCCCGGGAGGAGGAAGCCGGGTTAGCTTCTGCCGGCGAGGCGGGTCAGGCCGGCGCCGGGCCTAGCCTAGACCCTCGCAGCCCGGCTCTCCGCCCCAGGCCATGAGCCGCAGCCTCTCCCCGGCTCACTCCCTTCCCCCTTTCTTCCCCGTGGGTCTCCGGCCGACCTCGGCCCTCCCTCCCGGGTATCCCCCTCCTCTCTCTCCCCCCGCCCCCCTCCCGGCTCCTCCGCTCTGTGCTCCCGGCTCTGGGGCTGGGCCCGTGACGTCAAACCCAGTGTGGCGTCGGCGAGACTGGCCGGCGCGGGCCATCAAAAGAGCAACGTCCTTTTTCCCAATTACCCACTGTCAGTCCGGGAACAGGGGCGGACCGGCTGGGAATTAAATGTTAAATACCCCCTACAGGCTGGCTCCATTACACCGGGCATCCAGCCGCAGCCCCCGCGCCTCTCTGCCAGCCCCAAACCACCCAGACCAGGAGGGGCCTTCAAGAGCTTTTATTTTTCCAAGGTGGGTGGGTGGGTCGTGTCTCCATCCTAGTGCAGCCAGACTTGGTGCTTGTGATTTAATTAAATCAAATAAAGCCCCCTCCCCAGTTTTGTTCGTTATCAGAGAGGCGCCGCTGCACCGGAAGGCCTCCTTCTCACAAATATTTTCTCTTTGTCTTTTAAATCTTTCTTAGCCTCAGAAGTCAACATTTTCAAGTCCTGGCGTCAGCAGCTTTTCTCTCCCGAGTTGGCTCACTTTATCCTTATCCTGGTTTCCAGGTCCCGGCGGGGAGCACCAAAGAGCAGCGTTTGGTGTTTCGCGCGTGGTTTGAACTGGGGTCTCGCTACGGTCTCCTCGCCCTGTTCTGCCGCACTAAGAAGCACTTTTCATTTTTCCTCTCTGTTTCCATTCTTAATCTCGGGATTTAGCAAAAACGTCTGCGCGTTACCCTTTCCTTGTTTATGGAGCGGTTTCCAGTGAATGTTAGACCAACTAAATAATTAAAAGGTTTGGATATTAGCTTGACTGGCCCTAGAGAGAAGTGGTCAGAGTGAAAGGGAAATCGATGTTCCTTTATTGGTTTGCTCTAATAAACGGGGACTAAACGGGCTCAGGAGAAACACGCGGGGCGGTGTTAAATTTAGGGATTTTTCTCCCTGTCCGATATCAAGAAGCTCTATCCTGATTTATAACAAACATCAGATTCAAGAAAAAGGTCACTGAAGCTCCAAATCCAAGATCCGGTGGACCGTTTCCACTTCTTCCAAATAAATTTTACTAATCTTTCTACAAGGATTGTGTATTGAGACATCTCCCCCCCACACACCAAGTTGAGGCTAAATGTTGTTTCTCCTTCACCGCATGAAAGGAATGACCCCAAAATTACTTGTAGAGACTTTACCCTCTATCTCGAATTTTTGTATTTGAGGGAATTTTATGGGGTGGAGTGAATATGGAATAATGTCTTTAACTCAAATACAACCTCAGGCCCAGCTCTTAGTGCCGTCCTTGGTAAAGCGTGCGGAAGACCCCGCGCTCTACCCACACGCATGGCCCTGGAGTGAGCAGAGAGTGGAACCCGAGCCCTCTTTCGCCGCCTGACCCCGGCTCTCCCGGGCCCGCCGTCGGGCCGCGCGGCTACAGGAGCCTGCGCGCCGCTAGGGGATGCAGTGGCTCAAAGTACCCGGTCGGGCTGGGAGCTCGTGGTGCCGACCAATCGCCACTTTTGCGCAGCCTCGCGCGTTGATTGGCCCCTCAAGGCCCCGCCCTGCCCCGCCCCTTGCTGGGCTTTCTGAGCAGCGCACTCTCTCCCCGCGGTCGCCCAGCAGTGCCAAGCCCGTCCGAGAGTTGCAGGGCCCGGGGAGGCCGCAGCTGCCCTGCCCCGCGGCGGGTAGGGTCGGGGTGCGGTCGGGAGGCGACCGGGGGAGCGCTGGGACCCTGAGTGTAGGGTTTGGGGCGGGTGAAGGGAAAAGTTGGGTCTGGAGTAAAGATCCAACCACTCCCACTGCACTTGGCGAACCAGTGTCTATCCCCTGTCCTTTCCACCCATCACTATTGTCACTCAAGTCAAATGCGCACATCAATTGCAAATATTAGGTCTGGAAGAGGCAGCGGGAACGGCTGAAATATTCACTGCAGAGGCTTGCTAAAAAGCAAGAGGATGGGGGAATGCTGACCACGACCACCAAAGGAACATGGATATTTGATCAAAGACGCATTCCTTCCGCCTGATTCCTCCATCTCTTGGGCAATTCTTCCGAGAGGCGAATCTCAAAGTACTTTGACGTTAGCGTGTTTCCTCCAATCAGTTTTACATGCCGTAGCCCCAAATCAATAAACTCCCAAATACCCTGGATTAAATAAATAAAAAAAGATTGCTCATTAAAAAATGTCTGAAAAGGGAAGGCTGCCCGTAGAGATTAACTTTATGAATGGGGCAGGTCGGTTTCCCCGGCCCGGAGAGATCTGCACCGCCGGAATGAATTGGCAGGAGCGGGAGCCTCATTTAAAGGGCCAGAGCGCGAATTCCCGTCGCCCGTCCCCTGCGCCCTGGTCTGCCGGCCGCGCCCACCCGCCTGCGGCCCCTTCGCCCGACCGCCCTTCGCGGCGCCCCCTTTCCGGTCAGTGGAGGGGCGGGAGGAGGGGCGGGGGCGCCAGGGGTGGTGAAGTCCTGGAGAGGGTTTGGGTTGCAGTTTCCTTGTGCTGTAGATCCAGTCCCCTCCTCGCCAGCGCCAGGCTCCTCCCCCCCTCGGCGCGGATGACACTAGAACCTCCTTAAGTTGCGTCGCGCCACAGCTGTCTGCGAACACTGAGCTGCCTGGCGCCGTCTTGATACTTTCAGAAAGAATGCATTCCCTGTAAAAAAAAAAAAAAAAAAAAAAAACTGAGAGAAGGAGAGAGAGGAAAAGAGAGAGACGGAGAGGGCGCGAGACAGAGCGAGCCACGCAATCTGACTGAGTAGTTTCTGCTCTCGGGTCACCCGCTGCCGCCGCCTCCTCCTCTCTGCTCCTCGCTTCCCAGGTTGGTATTGGAGACTTTCTTTCTTTCTTTTTTTTTTTGGTTAAGTTTGATTCCCCCCTTCCCCTCCCCTATCCATTTGGGAGGACTTTAAAACATTTAAAATTCAACCCTCTTCTTTTGGAGAGTGTCTAGAGGAGGGCAGGAAGGTCCCGGGACCGGTGTCCCCGGAGGGAGGGAGTTGTCGTCCAAGTTGGAACCGCTCAGTCAGCTCAGGACTCCTGGGAGAGCCCGGTTGCTAGGGATGGACGTGGAAATCGCTCCCACAGCGGACGCAGCGGGGTTGTACTCGCTCGCGGGGAAGCGTGCGCGTGTGCGCTTGTGTGTGCGTGTCCCGGGGGCGCCGGCGCGGAGTCGGGCTGCTGGAGGGGAGGGGGCGGAACTTCATAAACTCAGGTGCTAAAGTACTTAGGAGCTCATCCAGGTCTCCCCCTTCTCTCTTTCGCAGGCAACCCGAGGGCAGACTCAGGCTCGGAGCCTCTGAGGACCTCCAGTGCACAGGAGCCTCTTGCAGAATTCCAGCTGTTCTCGCTCTCTCCCTTTACAATTTGATCCCTCTTTATACTTCCATACCTATTTTTTTGGAATTTCTTTTTTCTTCCTCTTCTTCTCCTTGCTAAACTACCCCGCAGAGATTAAAACAAACAAACCCCTCATTTGCTCACCTTTCCTTCCCAGCTTTCTATTCCCCTACTGAAAAATCATTAAACGCCCCTCGTCCCTCCGACGGCAGAAGCACCTGCAGAGCCCCGGAGGCCCCTGACCTCCTAGCCCGATCGCCCTCCCTCACCGCGCGCGGGTTCCGGGCCCGGCGAGAGGGCGCGAGCGCAGCGGGGGCCATGGAGGTGACGGCGGACCAGCCGCGCTGGGTGAGCCACCACCACCCCGCGGTTCTCAACGGGCAGCACCCGGACACGCACCACCCAGGCCTCGGCCACTCCTACATGGACCCGGCGCAGTACCCTCTGCCGGAGGAGGTGGATGTACTTTTTAACATCGATGGTCAAGGCAACCATGTCCCGTCCTACTACGGAAACTCGGTGAGGGCCACTGTGCAGAGGTACCCTCCGACCCACCACGGTAAGTGCGCCCCGGGTGTGGGGACCTAGGTTCAGCCGTTTCCGCTTTCCCGGGTCAGGGAGGCAGGGAAGAACCAGGGAGTGGAGAGACCCAACGAAAGCCGCCAAGTGCCGTTACCGCTCCATTAAAAAAAAATTGGGGCCCGGAAATGGGCGAGGAAGCCGTCTCGAACGCCGCGAGAGTGTGTTTTTAAAAACAGTCGTAGCAGGCGTCTCTTCCGCGGCTGAAGTCCCTGGGCCTGGCGCTCACCTGCAGGGCGCAGAGCTGCATTTCTCTCTCCCGGCGCGGCCGCAGGTTCGGGAGCCTCGGAGGTCCCGGGAGCGGGAGCCCGGGCTCTGCCTCTGCCGGCCACAGCTCCCCGAGCCCCACCGGCGCTGGGCAAACCCGGCACGGACCTGGTTCTTTCAAGGGGTTTCGCTTCCCCAGGCACCCAAAGTTCTCGGGGGCTTCTGCTGTCGTACCTCAGTTTCCAGAAAGGCCCGAGAGATTTATCTATTCAAACCCCTGTTTTTTCTTTTTTAACCTTTCCCCAAAGCTGGTGCATTTAGTTTCCAGGCAGGTCTCCTTGCTCTAGGCTCTGGGGAATGGAATTTGGTGCTTGAAGGGGATCTCGTGGAGAGTGTAGTCTTAAATTGGAGACTTTAAGGTTCCCTAGATTCCCGGCTGCACAGAATTTTCCTGCGTCTTTGATTTTCGCTCTCCCCATTCCTGCTCCCCACATCTCTTGCCTGACCCTCTCCTCTGGCCTACCACAGTCCCATTAGGCTCCCAAAGAAGATTTGGGATCCCTCAGGGTTTCTTTCTAAGTAGAAATGATTCCAGTTCTCCTTTTTCCTTTCTTTTTCATCTTGAAAAGTTTAGGAGAGTTCTGAAATGTTAAGCAGAAACCGAGCCCTCTGTAGCTAGGGGGAAATTGTTCTAACACTTCGCAGTCTTAGGTTGTTCTGAAGAAGAAATAGCAGAATCTCAGGCAGAGAAATCGTGAGCCTCTCTCAGCCCTGTCGACCTTGGTCTGCCCGGTCCCCTACTTGGAGCCCGCTCTGGCGCGGGTGACAGAGCCCCTTCCGCAGCAGGCGTCCTCCGCCTTGCTGTCACCAGGTTTTAAACAATTGTTTCTGCGGATGGGGCGCTCTTTGCCCTTGTTCTGTGCAGATCAACAGTTAAGTGGAAATGCAGTAGATGCAGACTTAATATTATTTACTATACTACTTCCTGTATAATATGAATCTTGACCCTTAGTGTTCAGAGAACTCTCCTTTCCCCTCCTCTCTCCTCCCCTTCCTCTCTCTTAAGATTTTAGTTTCAGTATTGTTCTTAATGGTTAAATAGAATGAAATGCTGAGGCAGGTACTAGATTAAAAGATCGTTAAGTGTGTGGATTTGCGGCTTTCATTTACTCCTGAGTGTGTGGACTTGTCCGAGTTAGGCTACCTTAAAACTGTGTATTTTAAATGAAGGCTAAAGATACTGTGTATGAGGGAAACAGACACATAAACTGGAATTTTGTGTCTCAGGCTCAGGTGAAAATTCACGTGTTGCACTGGGAGAATCACAACTTTGGGGGTAGATGGGCTCATTTTATCTTCTATAGAATTTGGGAGGATGAGAAAGGGAGAAAAAAAGGTTCTCCCAGGGTCTAGCCTTAGACACTTAATCCTACAGCCTCAGCGATTAAAATTTCCTTGCAAATCCCATTTCAGGCCTTGCCAATTATGAGCAAGCACTGAAGTAGGCTTACTTGGATAGATGAGTAAAATGCCCCCTGTGGTCTTCCAAGCCCTCTCCTTCCGGCACTTGGCTATCTGCAGCTGGGGCCTACTGCCGGTCCTGTCGAAGGTCCAGTCTATTTTCCTGGTGTTGAGCAGTTTTGCTACCTTCAGGCCTCATTGTTCACAGACCCTCTTATCAGGCTGCCTGGGATTAGGTTTGGTATGGAGGACGCCAGGCCATCGAAGGAAACCAATAAATCAAGCCAGGTTCTAGAGAGGGACCTCAGGGGGTGTGATTTAGGAAGTGTGTCTGGAGAGGCCAAATAAGCCCAGACGCCCTTCTCCACTCCCTCGCAGTGCCTCTGGGGTGTCAGACGCAGGCCCTTAATTCCGCTGGATTTGATAGAACACTTGCGTGGGAGACAGTGTGCGGCGTGTGCTGCTACAGTACTCGTGGGGCCGCCTAGGTGGAGAGCGTGGGCCTGAGCAGGGCCTGCCTGGGTTGGGCATGTTCCTGCACCAGCCGGGTGGCGGGGAGAATCCCAGGGGCTCTGCGCTCACCGCTTTCTCTCTCTTGCCCCTGCCCCTGCTCTGCGCAGGGAGTCAGGTGTGCCGTCCGCCCCTGCTGCACGGATCCCTGCCCTGGCTGGACGGTGGCAAAGCCCTGGGCAGCCACCACACCGCGTCGCCCTGGAACCTGAGCCCCTTTTCCAAGACGTCCATCCACCATGGCTCCCCCGGGCCGCTCTCCGTCTACCCGCCGGCCTCATCCTCCTCGCTGTCCGCGGGCCACTCCAGCCCTCACCTCTTCACCTTCCCTCCTACCCCGCCGAAGGACGTCTCCCCGGACCCGGCACTGTCCACCCCGGGCTCGGCCGGCTCGGCGCGCCAGGACGAGAAAGAGTGCATCAAGTACCAGGTGCCGCTGCCCGATGGCATGAAGCTCGAGTCTTCACACTCGCGCGCCAGCATGACCACCTTGGGGGGCGCCACCTCGACGGCCCACCACCCCATCACCACCTACCCGCCCTACGTCCCCGAATACAGCTCCGGACTCTTCCCGCCCAGCAGCCTGCTGGGGGGCTCCCCCACCGGCTTCGGATGCAAGTCCAGGCCCAAGGCGCGGTCCAGCACAGGTAGGCGCCTTTTCTGCCCTGAGGCCTGGCTCCCCTCTGGCCTTTCAACTCCTCGGTCCAGGGCAGGGACAGGACAGCCCTCAGACTTGCCCCTAGCGGAGCTGGGTGATGTTCCAGACCCTTCTGAGATTTGATTTCTCCCCTTCCAGCTGGGAAAGGATGGGGTGTGTCATGTCTCCTTCCAGTCTTCACAGCGCAGGAGAATTGGGACCTAATTCACCCCCCCAATGAGCTGGGGAAGGAAGACACAAACAAAAACAAATACCTTCTCCTGCCTGCCAGGGAACTTATGGGTTCTGCCAGTAACCTTCAGTCAGTTTCTAAGACCAAATGGAAGGCCCGAGGAAATAAATCTCTAGTGTTTAATGCTAAACCGAAACCTCCTGAAACCTAAACAAACACAGGTCCCTTCTATGACCCCCCTGCCTCTCCGGAGGTCCGACTTTTCCTCTGGGCTCAGCTCAGAGAGGGTCATGCAGTCAACAGAAGACACCTATAAATAAAGTTGTATATATTTTTTGTGGGGGGCGGGGCCCTGTCAAAAGCAGAACACATGCTTTTTGGTATAAAAGGGGGCTCTCACCCTAAGGGAGATGGGCTCTGCTCCCGGCCAACAGTTCGATGAAAATCAAAGTGGAATGGGCTAGTTACCTGCAGTATCTTCTAAGGCTTGCAACACAGGCAAGGAAGGGCAGGAAGGAGTCTTAGGACATGTTCCTCAATTGATCTGAAGCCAGAGGAGGTAGGAAGGACTGAAAACAAGTGTGTGTGTCTCTGCCTCCTCTGCTCATCCTCTCTGAAAACACGCTGCATATTTATTCTCCTGTTGTACACACTTGCATTAAAAACAAAACAAAACACAAAACCCACACAAAATATTTCTGCTTTAAAAGTAAAATAATCCATCACCAACTTTGTTTCTAACCAAAGCAGTTGAATCAGAGAGATGGGGATTCTCTGAGATGAGATCTAACTACATCTTTAGAGATAATTTTGGGAAGATGTTGTGTCTCTCTGGGTGTGCGCATTTCAGGGTGGGCTCTCCTGTCCTGTCCATCGGCCTTGCCTCTGCCTCTGTAGAGACTCTAGATGCAAAGCAGTGGTGAAAATCACCTGTCTTTTATGGGTGAGATGAGCACTGTTGAAACATAGCTTGCAAACCCCCAGTTTAAAAAACTTCCAAGGGAGGGCTCTGGGAGCCTAGTGACCATGAGATCAGTTTTCAGGGATTTTTCCAGGGTGACATTCACTCGACTGCCTAGGCAGGACTGTCTCTATTTAGTTGATATGTTTTAGCTAATCCAATTATTTTCAGACTGCTGCACGCGACAGTTGCATTGTTTATCCCGCGCCAGGAACTTTAATAGAGTCCGGATGCGGTTAGGCTGACAGAAAAACTCAGACCTGCATGTTCAGTACATGAAAGTCCGCAGAGGGAGAGGGAGGCAGGCTAGCTGGTAGAGTCAAAGAGTAAGGAAGAGGAAGGGAGACCGACTGGAGGAAAGTGCTCTTGCTGCTCACCAGAGGCCGGCTGGGGGCTTGGAGTGTAGGGTTCCAGAGAAATGGGCTGACACAAGAAAAACCGGGATTAGAGTGAGGCTTGAGGGCTGATTGCAAAGAGTGCAAGCCTGTGCCTTTTGAGGTAGTGATGGGATTTTTTTCAAAAAAGTTCCCTCTTCTGGTGGGGCTAAAAGTTTTGGGGGAAGATCCTGGTATCTGAGGCTGGCATGGTGGTTTGTGGTGGGGGGAGGGGCACAGTGACTTTTCCCAAAGTCTGGTATGTCTGCCCTCATTTCCGAGTTTGATTTCTCCCCTCTGCTGCACACACCCTGTGCCTTCAGTTTCCTTGAGGCTGAACACTTCGGGGAAGCTCGGGGCCTAGCTGTGGTTTCCCTAAACCAGAACCAAGGGCACCTAGATACCTATTTTATTTTATTTTTGGTGGGGCGAGAGGAGAGGAGACCTCGCAGTTTGGCTTTTTACTTCCTCTTTGTTCCTTTCTCACAGTCAAAAAACCCAAGGACAGCACACTTGGGCAGTGAGGGCACTGGGACTTTTGGGGAGTGTAAGAGTGTGGAGAGGAAGATTCCAGAAGCCTTCTGGGTACAAGGGTGGAAGTGGTGGGAATTCTTGAGGGGGAATTCTTTTGGTTTTAGTAGTTGCTTTTTTTTCTTCTTCTTTTAACCTCCTTTCTGCAAACGTACTTGCCAAGAAGGAGATGAGAAGAGAATTGTCAGATTTTGGAGAAATGGTTGAAGCTGTGGTTAGGGCACCAATTGCTTTTCTTCACGCCTGCAGAGGCCCTCTGTGCTGGGATATATCTTTGCAAACAAAAGACAAAGTCTCTCTGTAAAGGACCATTTCTTAGCTCCCACAGCTCCTCTTGGCCTTGGGCTTCAGGGCCCACCTTCCTCCTGACAACTCCTGCCTTCCTTCCTACCCCTTCCACCCAGTCCTGTTTCAGGATTGCAGCTGGAGGTGGAGGGGTGTTTGGAAATGGCTGTTGAATGTCAAGAGGCCTTGCAGTTCTGTGGTTCTTGTCACCTAAGAGAGGTGTCTGTGTGAGCAGTTCACACCAGGCAGTGAGCGAGGAGAGGGAAAGAAAGCAGGAGACAGTCAGGGCGTCCATTAGGAAAATTGCTCACTTGCTGAAGTCAGAGACTAGAGGCAACAATGAGAAAAGAAAAAAAAAAAAAAGAAAAACCCACATAAGGCAATCGAGAACTTGCGGAGTGAATCAAGACAGAAAATTGCTCTAGTGTGCAGAGCCTTGCTGAAGAGCCAACATTGCTAGCTTCTAAGGTCTCTCTGAAAAGGAAGCTGTCATCCTCCCCACGCCTGACAAAGGAAAGGAAATCACGTCAGGCTGGGAGATCCCCCAGCCCAGGGCACCTGGGAGCAGGGCTGCTGATGCTGGAGAGGCTTAGAGCCCCGAAACCTGACCACCCCCTGTGCCAGGGAGGAAAGGACAAAATGTCTGGGACCTGAGAGGCCCCTGTTCTGGCAGGATGGGGAGGGGACCTGGAGCCCCAGCGGCTGGGACCTGCTCTGCAAGGGAGCTGAGGGCTGCCTGCCTCCCGGCGCCCGCTCCTGCTCGCAGCCAATGGCCTCCCCTCTTTCCTCCCTGCTCCCCCACCCCCAGCTGGCCACATCCTGCAGGCTTTGACCCGGGGGAAGATGTCTGGAGGTAATTCGGCAAAAGCCTTTGTTGAGGACTGACAGAAGCCACTGGGTCCCTGGGAAGGAGCTCCCGGCCTCCAAGTGCCAGTTTTGTACAAAATCAGGCTCTCTGTCAGCCCTGGGTTAAGAACCTTTTTGGAATTTGGAGCAAAAAAGCCAAGTCCCTCTTAATTCCTTAAAATTTTTTAAGAAAGCAAAGTTGATAAAAACTGCTCAGCCCCCTCATGGACTCCATGGTGTAAAGGAAGCAGCACCCTCTTCCATTTGTGAAAGTCCTCTTCCTTCCCAGAACCTGTCCCTGGACACAAGCATAGCTTGCAAGGGTGAGCTCCGCAGTCCCTCCCTCGAACCTGGCCTGAGGGTTTCCAAAGGCCTGAGCAACTCCCAGGCCCCTAAAGCCAGCCTTGTCTTCCTTGTAGGGAGTCAAGATTCCCAAGTGCCCTGCTGGGGTCTCTTCCCCACCGGGCCTTCCTTGTAGCTTGCATTAGCTGATGAATCTCTGAGCAACAAAACAGCCTTTAAGGGGCTCACGGTTCTCTTCTGCCATCCTCCATAACCTCCCTGCCAGCACCCCCAAAGAGAGCAGAGCCTTTCCCTGACCCTACTCTGGGGGGACCCGTCCTGCAGGGTCAGGCTGGGTCCTGAGCAGGGTGGGGCGCCTCCTGGGTGGGCAGGAAGCTGGCCTGACCTCACCAGGCGAAGGAAGCCCTCCAAGGCAGGCACATCTCCCAGAAACTTTCCTCCTCTTGCTCTTGCCATAGAAGTTGAAGTCAGTGCCCTGAAATGGTGTCTTGAGGGATTCTCTCCAGGAGTTTTCTCTCCAGAGGTGGGTCTGGGTCACTCCTGCCCCTGGACTGAGTGCTGCTCCAACCGGCCTGGCCGGTTTTTTGTTTATTTTGTTTGTTTGTTTTTTTGGAAAAAGAGCAACTGCAGGCAGGTCCTGGTTAAGGAGCAGCCCCAGAGGCCCCCTGTCCTCACCTGGCCTGTTCTCCTGACCTGCCCCTCCCCAGCCTTCCCTTCTTCCCTCTTCTCTCCAGGTTCTTGCGTACAAGTGCGCAGAGCTGCCCTCCACGCCTCCCGGCCTGGGCTGGCTAGGGTCATACTTACACTTGAGGCTGGAAAGCTATTGGAAACCTTCGCCTTTTCTGGGGAGAAAAAAGACAGTGTGGCCCCTTCTGGATCTACATCTATTTCTTGCCAGCCAGGGACATTAACCGTTTTATTGGAAGTAAAATCTAAAGCCCCGACTCCTAAAATCAATCAACCAATTGATCAATCTATTCATCTATTTAGGATCTGTTTGTCTATCTAGCCACTGATTAAGCTTTCCTTTCTCCCCATCCTAATCTTCTTCATTATTTATCTATCCATATGGACAGGCCCAGAGACCATAATGGGTCACCTTTGTTTTCCTTTGAGGGAAATGAATGGAATGTTGTGCTTTTGCCATCGTCCAGGGCTCAGCATTTTCTCAGGGAACGATTTCATGCTGAAATTTGCCTTCCTGCTTGGCTCTGCTTGATCTTCCCCATCAAGTCAGGCAGGCTCAGAACAAGGTCCTGCTGCCATTCATTCCTGTGCCTTTTCTTGGGACAGCAGCTGCCTGTGTAGGAGAATGGTTCCTCCATGAAAGGGCCCCACAGTAACTCCTTTTAACCTGGGGCCACCCTCAAGGGAGGTGGGGGTAGGAAAGCTCCCCAAAAGGGGGAGGAGAGAGAAAGTTCTCACTTGCACTTTCATCCCCTGATTCCCAGCTTGTCTGCATGTTTTCCTTCCATAAGTGACTTATGTGTGATTGTTTCTAGAAGGCAGGGAGTGTGTGAACTGCGGGGCGACCTCAACCCCCCTGTGGCGACGGGATGGAACGGGGCATTACCTGTGCAACGCCTGCGGGCTCTACCACAAGATGAACGGACAGAACCGACCCCTCATTAAGCCCAAGCGAAGGCTGGTGAGTTCTCCTTGGGAAGCACAGCTCCCACACTAACCATTTTGTGTTTCTAATTTCCTCTCTTCAGAAAGGAGAACTTTTTGCAGGAAATTGGTAGGACAGCTCAAAATCATGTCAGCTTGCTTGGGACAGGTTTTTTTTTCCTTTTCTTTTTTTTCTTTCGGCAAGTTAGATATACTCAGTTCTTTCTCTCTCTTGTTTTTCCCTTCCACATTTCCTAAGTCACTGATCCAGTTTTTAAGGATGTTGACTTCTTGGTTATCAAATCTTAAATGTATTTGCTAGTGGAATAATTGTTTTAACAGGGACCAGGGTGACTGATTGAAAATGCATTGAAGTTTCACAGAAGTTTATCATGAGAATGGAATGCGCCAGGCACCACCGTCCAGACCATGCTCCTGAAGTTGTAGAGAAGTGATCACAGACTTGGAGCTGTCTTAGTGCCATGGATGAATCTTGGGTGCAAATGCTTTAAGGTTGATGGGGCCACTTAACTGAACCTCACAAACAGCAGCCATTAAGTTCTGGGAGATTTTGTTCTTTCTTGGGCTCAAGGATTGAGCACTTTCCACACTAATGCCTCTGGGAAATTGTGATTCTGCCCTGCCTCTTGGTCTCACCTAGTTTTTAGTCTTATTTTCCCTTTTTTACTGCTATTGGTAGAATAATAGTTTTTCCCCTCTTTTTTCTTTCTTAAATTTCTTGATCCTTAGAAATACTTGTGAAACCTTGGTACTGCCTAGCATTTACAAGGAAAACTAGCAAGAGAGGTTCATTTGTAAGCTTGTCTTTGGAACCTCAGGCCAGATTGAATAGCAAATTGTATGTAACAGACAAATAAAAGCAGGCCAGGCAGATGATAACTCTTAAGTACAGTCAAGAGATCAGAATGCTTTTTGTGGTGATGACATTCACCAAGTAGAGAGGGGAGGAGGGGAATTTCCCCCTGCCTATTAATGGATGAAGTAACATCCATCAAATTCTAAGGGGAGCCACAAAAAAAAAAAACCTCTATTCTTTTAAAAAAATTATTCATCTTCCACATCAGATTTTTAGTGCAATTCAACACCTTTCACTTCCTCTTCAGAAGAAGGAAAAACTTTCTAGGGAAGGAGGTGCCCACGTGACTTTAATTTTTGGCAATACTTGGTCTTAAAGCTTTATCTTTTCTGATCTTTGCTCCCTTCTCCAACTTTCTCCACCTCCCCCCACTCATTCCCTTGCACTTCTGTATTATTTTTCCTTTCTCTCATGTGCAAAGCTAACTTCCTAGGAAAAAGCTGCCGGATATCTGAGTGCTGGAGATAACTCCTAAACAACAACTCAGCTTCCCCAACCTAAACATCAAGATGTTTGGACGTATCAGAACAAGACGTGTTTGGAAAAAGAAATGGCTGGAGGTGTTAGCACAGAATGAATGTGATTACACCACAAAAGAATGTTCTGAATCACTCAAAACCTGGCCTTAGTTTAAAAAAGAAAGAAAGAAGTAAAAGAGAAAAAGAAAAAAAGTAACAACAAAAACCTTCCTCTTAAAATAAGTCATGATGCCATTATAATTGGGCTTTCTCTTTTTTAAGGTAAAAGTATGGAAAAAGGGAAGGCAAGTCTTGGACTGTGTGCTGATTGATGAGCAAAAGTACATTTGATATTTTCTTGAGGTTTCTTCTGTCTGGGCAGATTTCATAGGAGAGCTCTACTTGTATTTCATATAATTTTGTCTTCACCTTTCATTAGAAATAGCTAGAACTCAGTAATAATTGATTTTAATTCTAGAGTACATCGGCTGTCATATTTTAGCTATCCTTTCTTTCTTACTCATCTGTTCTAAGTGATTTTATACTTTTAGTTCCATAGAGTTAATATGCTCCAGGGAGATACTTAGAGCACATTTAGGATGTATTTTTTTAGCTCTTAGATGTATTTGACTTCTGAATATCTAGAACTTTCTTTTTCTTCTTTCTGGTATTTCCTGGTCCTTCGCACCAGCTCTCTTTCCAGTTTGCTGTTTTTACTTTGCACATTTGCAGACTCACTAAAGACCACCCATAATGTAGAGAGCTCTTCCATAAGATGCATATCTAACACTGAATAAACTCATGCAGGAAATAAGAAAAATAACTGAAGGGAAGATCCATAGCACTTTTTTTCCTAGTGTTGCAAGGATTTTCATATGTCTAACAACTAGGTGAGTAACTTGCTTTAATAAAGTACTTCGTCTCCTGCTAGTGAACCAATTAGTGTGGCTTTTAGAGGTTCTGTATAAATTTGCATAAAGTCTGCGGGCCCATGTATTGCGAGCCTCCTTGTGTTTATATTACTGACAATATACTGCCAAAGACTGTACCATAAAGCTTGTCTTTTGATGCTCTAATTTACCAGTTGGCATTATGTGCTTGTATGTACATTTAAAGTTGTTGGGCTGGAAAATCCGGTACCTGAGTAGATACTAGGATATCTATGATATCCAAGTATTTATTTTAAAGAAAAAAAAGTACAGGAAGATAATCACATAAGAACACAATTGTCAGGATCTGTAACACTGATTTTCTGTATCCTTTTCTTCTTGAGATACACAAGTGAAACAGTTTTTGAAATCTTAAATCACCACATTTTGTAAAGGCAGGTGGGCATAGGCAGGTGGGGTTAGAGGGGAATACTCTCGGGTTGTGGTGAAAGATTTTCAAAATGGAAGCCATAATGCAGAACTTTCTCAATTATGAGAGATAGGAGACATTTCAAATTTCTAGTTCCTTAGGGCACAGAAAATAAAGAATGACTTAAAAAAAAAGAGAAAAAAGGCATAGCTCTGCTATTTAAGCCCGTAGGAAGGAAGAGCAGATCTATGGAACCAATTTAGTGCCTTTGCAAGGGAAGGAATCAGTCTGGTTAATTCAGACTCACCACTGGGTTCTCCATATCTGGCAGCTTTGGGTGTTTGGCCCAACTTTTTGCTTGATAAAATATTAATGGAAAAGCATACCATGACCCCTGTAGTTTTTGTTCCGCTCATTTATAACCATGCCAGAATTTTCTTGATCACAGATAAAGACAAACTGAATTCTTTCTCCTCTTGCCTTTCATAATATTTTTGAGTCCACGGGCAGGAGTAATTTTGCAGTTAAAATTTTCTTGTTATGTTGGTGAGGAGTTGGAGAGTGCTGTGTTAGAAATGTCCCAACTCCATTTGCTTTCAAAAGTTTTTAATTGTTTAAAAAGTATGGACACAGAGAATAGGTCCCTTACACATTTAAGTGGGTCAAAAGTGAAAGAAAAAGTCTCCCATCTGAAGGCAGTAAGAGCGTCAAATAATTAAAATTAAAGTTGAGCCTGACATCTGACCTGCAACTATTCTGCTCAGTGGGCAGCAGGTAGGAAGCCGGAATGAGATGACAGCAGTAGGAGAGGCCAGTGTTTCTGCTGAATAGCGAAATTCCTTGTTCTTTTCATTTTGTCTCACATGTGGCAAGCCACCTAAAGAGAATATGGGCGGTTGTCACAGTGAGTGACCAAGTCTGAAGGTGTGGGTGGCGTACATTTAGGACTGCTGCTCGGTTGGAAGTGGTGGGAATTCTTGAGGGGGAATTCTTTTGGTTTTAGTAGTTGCTTTTTTTTCTTCTTCTTTTAACCTCCTTTCTGCAAACGTACTTGCCAAGAAGGAGATGAGAAGAGAATTGTCAGATTTTGGAGAAATGGTTGAAGCTGTGGTTAGGGCACCAATTGCTTTTCTTCACGCCTGCAGAGGCCCTCTGTGCTGGGATATATCTTTGCAAACAAAAGACAAAGTCTCTCTGTAAAGGACCATTTCTTAGCTCCCACAGCTCCTCTTGGCCTTGGGCTTCAGGGCCCACCTTCCTCCTGACAACTCCTGCCTTCCTTCCTACCCCTTCCACCCAGTCCTGTTTCAGGATTGCAGCTGGAGGTGGAGGGGTGTTTGGAAATGGCTGTTGAATGTCAAGAGGCCTTGCAGTTCTGTGGTTCTTGTCACCTAAGAGAGGTGTCTGTGTGAGCAGTTCACACCAGGCAGTGAGCGAGGAGAGGGAAAGAAAGCAGGAGACAGTCAGGGCGTCCATTAGGAAAATTGCTCACTTGCTGAAGTCAGAGACTAGAGGCAACAATGAGAAAAGAAAAAAAAAAAAAAGAAAAACCCACATAAGGCAATCGAGAACTTGCGGAGTGAATCAAGACAGAAAATTGCTCTAGTGTGCAGAGCCTTGCTGAAGAGCCAACATTGCTAGCTTCTAAGGTCTCTCTGAAAAGGAAGCTGTCATCCTCCCCACGCCTGACAAAGGAAAGGAAATCACGTCAGGCTGGGAGATCCCCCAGCCCAGGGCACCTGGGAGCAGGGCTGCTGATGCTGGAGAGGCTTAGAGCCCCGAAACCTGACCACCCCCTGTGCCAGGGAGGAAAGGACAAAATGTCTGGGACCTGAGAGGCCCCTGTTCTGGCAGGATGGGGAGGGGACCTGGAGCCCCAGCGGCTGGGACCTGCTCTGCAAGGGAGCTGAGGGCTGCCTGCCTCCCGGCGCCCGCTCCTGCTCGCAGCCAATGGCCTCCCCTCTTTCCTCCCTGCTCCCCCACCCCCAGCTGGCCACATCCTGCAGGCTTTGACCCGGGGGAAGATGTCTGGAGGTAATTCGGCAAAAGCCTTTGTTGAGGACTGACAGAAGCCACTGGGTCCCTGGGAAGGAGCTCCCGGCCTCCAAGTGCCAGTTTTGTACAAAATCAGGCTCTCTGTCAGCCCTGGGTTAAGAACCTTTTTGGAATTTGGAGCAAAAAAGCCAAGTCCCTCTTAATTCCTTAAAATTTTTTAAGAAAGCAAAGTTGATAAAAACTGCTCAGCCCCCTCATGGACTCCATGGTGTAAAGGAAGCAGCACCCTCTTCCATTTGTGAAAGTCCTCTTCCTTCCCAGAACCTGTCCCTGGACACAAGCATAGCTTGCAAGGGTGAGCTCCGCAGTCCCTCCCTCGAACCTGGCCTGAGGGTTTCCAAAGGCCTG